CCGCATTGCAAGCGTGTTGAGGTTGGAGAGCTTCAGACTAAAATATCAGATTTGAAAGTTCAGTTCAGACTAAGAGTCTGCTTAGAATAGTCATAGCAGCCAGTTAGAAACTGAAGCCTCAGAATAAAGATGGAGAAAAACAGATGATGTGTTTTGGGGAAACTGCATTAGCCTGGTCAGTTTATCACTGGAGTAAAAGGTTGTGTGGTAACCGAAGGCATTCGATCCCAGAAAAAGGGCTTTACAAAGTCCACACAAAAAGAAATGAGTTATTCGCACTTAAGTTGGCATGTTTGTGGGTTTTTAAGTAAACATAGATGCTTTGTTGGCGCACTCTTTTTCTTAGAAAATAAAAAGGCATAATAGTGTTGAGCCTTGAACTGGGTGAAAATTATGGCTCTGTGATGCAGTTTAAAGAAAATTGCTTTACAATTTTGTCTAAACTGAGAAATAATATTAAATGGACTATACATATTTATTATATATATTATTTATAGTCTTATAGGCTGTTTCTGCAGATAATATTGCTGTAATTATAGTGCTGATGCACAAAATTGTCATTCTTTGTCTAGAAGAACGGCTGGGAAAGAAAATGGAAGAGCACCCACGAGCAAGTTTTCAAAATGTTAGTGTGAAATACATAATCCTCAGATACTTACAATTTAAATTCTCTTGTAGTTAAGCATCAAAGATGAAATTGAAGATGAGGAAGCAACTATTGAGGATTATATTGATGAGAAGATGAGTGACTGGGATGCTGCTTCAGTGGACAAAGTATATTCAATTGCTAGTCAGTGTCTGAATGAAAAAAAAAATAGGAGGCCAGATATTAAGATGGTATGTAGTCCTTCACATTAAAGGGTTATTTTTAGCCGTTGATTCCTTGGTGACTGTATCAGTTATTTATATTGCCATCTGTTCTTTTCCAGGTCCAGCAGAATCTAGAGGAGATAACAACTTGAGGTGTTTCTTCTGATACACAAATGCTTTCTAAATGGAGTAGAGACCAGTAGCAAATACGGACTTTCATTAGTATTTAGTGTGACATTATCAGCTTGTCTGCTTTCCAGACCTTCCTGGTCTGCATGTAAGGTGTGCTGCTGGCCTGTCACTATTGTGCTATTTTTATTAAGAGATGAGCTTTTTCACATATCCTTAGCCAGTGGGTCCTCAGCATGAGAAAGCTGAGAGCCTTTTTTAGATTAACAAATTGCATTCCTGGCACATCTTCTCCACAGCTTTTTAAATGCATTTCCATATTAGAATCTATTTGTCTTTAGATCTCCAAGTATCAAATATGTCTTCTGCAAAGGCAGATAACAGTAAGAGGCTAGGTTGTTTTTCTTCAAATCACTTTCTTGTGTAGGTGGATGAGACCTTTATTTACTGGAGACAAAAACATTTAACTGATGCAAATGGCACTTATGTTCCTTTTTTACGAAGACAGTAGTAAATACCCATTCAAAACTTTTTTTTTTTGTCTAACACTTTGACTTGAGAATCCAAGTTAATGTGAATGGACAGTATTTGTGAATGTGACAACTGTCTGGATGCAGACTTTATTTTTTAAAAAGTCTTCTCAGGATTTGTTTTATTCAGGTAAATGCTGCAAACATGTTTTAGGTTGTTCTCTGGTTTAGATGTTTTACAAGCAAAATAATTATATTGCAATGCAAATATAAAACTAGATACAGTTTTCTTCCACTGTACCGTGTATGGTGACAAACCATTTAATGTTTGTTCATAAACTCACTTATTTAGGAGGAAGACTCTTAAATACTTT